CAGTTAAGAGAGGTGAGGTGGATCCTGTCCTAGACTGTCCAAGCAGATCTCTGGTGTATATGAAATCTGTGAGGACACGAAAAAAGGGTTTCCACAGTTGATTCTGATATTTAAAGATTTCCTCCTGGTGGAAAACTGTAAGTGAAAAAATCTTGAAAGTTCCTACTGTGGTTTAACCTGGCAGGCAGTGAAGTAGCACACAGCCACTCACTCATTCTCCCCAGGTGGGATGGGGGAGAGAATAGGAAATGTAAAAGCGTAAGAACTCACAGGTTGTGACAAGTACAGTTTACCAGGTAAAGAAAAAGCCACTCACACAAGCAAAGCAAAACAAGGAATCCACTCACTGCTTCCCATCGGCAGGCAGGTGTTCAGCCAGTCCCAGCAAAGCAGGGCTCATCACACGTTGTAATGGTTTCTTGGGAAGACAACCACCATCACTCTGAACATCCTCCCTTCCTCCTCCAGTACTCCAGCTTTTATTGCTGAGCATGATGCCATATGGGATGGGACATCCCTTTGGTCAGTTTGGGTCACTTGTCCTGGCTGTGTCCCCTCCCAGCTCCTGGTGCGTCCCCAGCCTCCTTTCTGGCAGGACAGCACGAGGGTCTGAACAGTCCTTGGCACTGTGTAAGCACTGCTCTGCAACAAATAAACTCATCAGTGTGTTATCACCACCGTTTTCATCAAAAGTCCAAAACACAGCTTCATACAAGCGCCTATGAAGAATATTAACTATTTCAACCCAAACCATGACAGCTGCTACAAACCTGGTTATTTCCAGGTGCAGACGATGGTTCTTCTTCCTAAGGCGGGACAGTAGAGGAGCCAAATAGAATTAATAGATTTTGGATAGGCCCCAGTAAGCTCAAAAGGACCAGCCAGACTCTCAGCAGCCTGGTTTATGAATTAAAGACAGTTATTCCTTAACCTAATGCTAATAAGCTCATCAGTATGTAATACCCACCTGTAAACCAGGACACAAGATTTAAGGTCAACTTATTCAAAGTATATATATATATATATGAGCATAAGAGACAAAACAAGGTAAGCCAAGGCACTGAATGAGATATAACCAGCAGCTGCGTAACTTTAATGCAGCAGGCATAAGAGAAAGACCAAAGGCAAGGCTGATCCACTACACAGCAAAGAGGAAATGAGGGTGTTTCTTCACTCAGTCTCGCTAAATGGATTAGATGCAATCAAGTGGCTAACATCATTAACATGAGATGCAAAAGATCTCTGTCCCAGGTAATGAAGGACTGGAAAGTATTTGTTTTCTGGTCAGTCGAGCCTGATGAGCATGACTGGAAATTACTTAGAGAAATGGCAAAAATAGTCTGGTGAGAGCATGTGCTGTGAGAATTTCTGAAGGCAAGGTATAGGCTTAGAAGGGTATGAAAGGACTAACTTAATGCCCCATTTTAAAGGAGGAACTGGGGCAGTCAGTGCAATTAATTTAATAGAAACTGAATACAAACTATTGGGGAAAAAAATCAACGAGCTCTCTGTAAATTTATAAATTTGTCAAGAACAAGCTCTATCATATCATCCTGACTGCTGACTGACAGAAGAACGGGTCTAACAGACAGAAGAAAACACAATTATCATTCTTATTTTCTTTGTCCTTAAGGTCTTCGGAAACTGTTTTGCACAATGTTCTCACACGTAAAATAGGGAAATGCAGTCTAAATGGTGAAGCAAACAAATTTGAAAAGCTGAACTGGGGGAGCTGTAATCCAGTCGTCATCCAAAGGGAAGGATGGATGAAGAAAGAGAGTTGTGGGCAGTCTACTAGGACTATTGAGCCTGGTAGGACTCAATACTCTCATTAATGACCTGACTTAAATTACAGAGCACATTTATGACACTTGCAGGCGACTCCAAGCTGAGAAAGAGATACCAGGGACACTCAAGCATAGACCTGCAATTCAGAACAACACAACAAAATGGAAACACAGTCTTTAAGTATCGATTCAGTAAGGGCAAAATACAGGATTAATGCCCTGCACAAACACAGAGTATAACCCCTTATGTTGCACAGCCCTGATGAATTGAAGAACTTGGTAGCTTCGCCCTGTCCTTCTTTTGGCTGCTATGCTTCAAAGAAGACAAGAAACACCCAAAAAGTGGCTAAAAACCAGAAAACGCGAATGACCAGAGGACTAAAACATGACCTACAGGAAAAAGATTGCTAAATAGGGGTGATTTGGATCAAGTAAAGATCAGGCAAGGTACGTGCTCAGTCTTCAAATACTGAAAGTTTGTTGAAGAGTCATTGCATTTTTTTTTTCCATATCTAAGGTAAGACAAGCAGCACTGAGCTTATATTGCAGCACGGAAGATTTGGCTTAATCGCAGTATCTTTAAATATCCTGGGATACTTAGAAAAGGAGAATAAATGCGTGCCTTGCCTCAGCAGGCATCAAGTCACTACTGCCAGGCACCTCTGGGTGCAGCAAGCGCTGTTTGTGACACATTCACGTCAAATTCAGCTTTATTGCAAGTAGATGGGCAAAGAGGGGTGCACAAGGCATCATTAAATTGAAAACCCCTCCAAGACCACCTGCTCCAACCACCCCCTACCACCAATGTCACCACTGAACCCTGTCCCCAAGCCCCGCGTCCAACCTCTCCTTGAACACCCCCAGGGACGGGGACTCCACCACTTCGGCCCCCTCCCCAACCAATACACAGACACGGACACAGCACGGGGAGGTTTGGAGCTCTTTATTCACCGCGGGGACAGCCCCGCACCTCGCTCCCCACAGCCCCTCACGGGCCCCGCACAGCGCCGGGGGCTACCGGAGGGGGTGGGCACAAAATGGCGGCGGCGCCCCCTGAGGGGCTCCCTGAGGAGGCAGCCGCCGTTCCCGCCCCCTCCCCTCCCTCTGAATTTTGCGGCTGTCTCAGCAAACGCCTCCCCAATACCTGAAACAAAACGCCGAAAAACAGCCTGTAGAGGGAATATAAATTAATTTCATATTTTTTAAAGATTTTTTAGGTTTTAAAAATTAATTTATCATGTGGAGACGCCTACGCTCGGCTAAATTTCGGCTTGTTCATCAGGCGTTCTCTCAAGATGCCCCACTCGCTGCCCGAAAGCTCTGAAGGCCCCGCGGCGGGAGCTGGAGAGAGGCCCCCAAGATGGCGATGCTGGCGGAGCGTGAGTGCGGCTCCGGGCGGGCGGCGGGAGGCTGAGGGGGGCCCCTCACAGGGCGGGGGGGCCGCTACTGGGGCTCCTCAGGCCCCGCTGGGCCCTTTTGTTGGGCTCTGAGGGACCTCCGGGCATGGGTTGCCCTCAGTGGTAACCCTCTCGGGGCAGCCTGTGCCAGGGCTCCGGCACCCTTGGGCTCAGCAGTGCTGCCTGAGGGGCAGGGGGAGCCGCCGGGGCTCCAGGCTGGGCCCGGGGCCTCTGGGCCTGGCCCTGGGCACCGCTGAGCAGAGCCCGGCTCCGGCCTCTCCGCACCTCCCTGCGGGTACTGACGGCCATGGGGGAGCTCCCCCGGAGCCTCCTCTGCTCCAGGCCCAGCAGCCCCAAGGATTTATTTTTCAGAAGCTGCTAATTGTTGCTCTCTCCATTTTTAAGTTCAAGGAGCATCTCTGCAAAGTAGGCTTTCCTAGCAAACTGAAACCACATGCGAGTGAAAACAATAAACTTTCAGCTGCAGGCTTTTATGGGGCAGGGCTCGTATATGATGATTATTAGTGTCCTTACGTGGTTCAAGTAAGCTTTGTGGTGTCAGGACACCGTTAATGTGAGAGCACGAGGTCTAATAAATTTGCTTTACGGTTGGAAAAATGGATTTCAATATAGTGCCTAATTAAAAAAATCTGTTTCCCACTGGAAAATACAGGTGTGAGTTGTTGAAAATAAGCTGTAATAGGTAATTTATAGATTATTTTAGATGTAAGCTTTGTTGGTGCCATTTTTCAGAATTTTATTTGGACGCTCCCATTTCAGTAATGTAATGCTGTGTTAAGGTAGCTTCTCTGTGTAGTAAATTCTGAAATCAGTTGCTGCAAAAACTAAATCTGGTTGCTGAAACTCCACCTTTGAGGGCTTGTTTTTGTTCCTCACCTTCAGCTGAAGTTATAGTTGTGAAGCCAAATTATACAGATGCACGCTTTGTTTCTAGTGCCAGACCAAGTTCAGCTGTTGTTATTAATTTTAATCCAAAAGAGAGTCGAGTTGATTGATTTTACTACAGCAACGCATTGCAGGACCTTGAAATAACTTCTCGGTGGTCCCAGTGGCAGGACAAGAAGCAGTGGGCACAAACTGAAACACCAGGAGTTCCCAGGTGGGCGAACACAGAAAGTACTGAACACTGAGGTGGTGAAACCCCACCTGGACGTGATCTGAGGCCACCTGCTTGAGCAGGGGGGTAAAGGAGGCGATTTTGAGAGGTTTGTGTAGCCTCTGTGATGCTGTGAGCTAAACTGGGAATGGATGGACTCAATTGTTCTGCTATCGAGTAGTTTGAACTTAAAAAATGTAGCCATTGCCAAAGTGGCAGACAAGTCAGCTTTTGGTTCTTGCTTGCTTTTGACTTGGATTTTGAATAAGCTGTGATTAATTAGCTTAGTGCTGTCGGTTTGGAAAATTAAAAGTGTGTGCTGATGAGTTCTGTGGCTTGGATTAAAAATTAAATCCCTTTTGTGGGCTGTATCTTTTTTCCTGCTAACTGGAGAAACTTCACCCGTTCGTTATTTCCTGTGTTAACACCATCTGGGGGCACCCAGCAGTGGCTTAGCCCTGGTAGAAGGGTTTAGGAACTGATCTTTTTCCACAGAGTATCTGAAGTTCCTAAAGAAATGACCCGTTTCTCCACTGGATGGTGCTGCTCACCCAGAATTGCATTGCAGTTTCTCATGAGAGCAGGACATCGCTGTTGCCTTCCGAGCTCTTTTTTATTTTAGGTAGAAGATAGCAGGTTGGTTCTTTCGTTGCTCTTTAAAAATTGGTGAACAGATATTTCTGATGCAATTTATACTTCTTGAAAGTATACGGATGGCTTGCCATGTATGAAAAGGAGTGCGTTAACCTGGCAGAAGAGTGAGGAGTAATCCGTAATGGTAATTAAGAGATTTGAAATACTTGGGGTGAAGCTGCTGGGAAAAGGAAGGCCTCGTAATGTTTCAACGTGAGAAATCTCCATAGGAGGTGCCCTTGGGTTTTGTTAGCGGGGTCCTCCTGGGAGTAAAACATCTGAGGGCTTCTGTATGGGGAGGAACTCGGGAGAATTACAAGAAGTCAGCTTTTAAAGTGGATTAGTTGAGCTAGATCAAACAATTTGGTTTGGAAGTTAATTTAAACTCCCCTGTTCGTTCGACACGGATTACCTCTGCCATGTAGACAAATCCTTAAATACACACAGGGGCTTTACAACTGCAAGAATTGCGGTGAATTTCAGTTCTTGGGATTTGCAAAGCCATCACCTGGGAAACTATGGACAGCATAACAGAGGGTGAGGATGCTGAAAGTATCTGACAGCACACTGTTAGAGCTAGATCTAAAAAAAAAGGCATGGGCAGCATTATATTCTCTTCTAAATTGCTTCTTTTTAGTGGTCTTTGTGTTGCCCTCTCTGTCCTTAATGTTTCACTGACAGCAACAGCAAAGATGTTCCCAGTTTTTGAAGGACTTGGTTTTTGCTGCCAGCTTGATACCTTAATTTAAAAGTCATTCTGCCCCATAAACTCCTGGAAACTTGAGTCCTTAAAGGTCGTGTGCATCTTGGGTGAAGGAAGAAGGCAAAACGTGCTAATTGTCCCAAATCCCTAAGGAATTCAGGAGGGAACCTGAATTTGCTGGGGTCTGTCTAAAATCACAGTCCATGGTGGCGTTTTTCCAGCTTCTGGTAGCAGCACAGACAGGGTTTGTAGGGGATGTTGCTGCCTGGTGGAAAGAGATTGTTGTTTTGGTGTAGAGAAGGGAACTCAACAAGTGCTTTAGGATTCTTCTCGCAGCACTAAGTCATTAACATACCGTAAAATCTCTTTTTATGGACTGTTAGGGCTTTTTATGAAATTTTTGTGACTTTTTTTGTGGGGCACTCTTTTTGAGCTTCAAAGGTTCAGAAGCCCATTAAAAAACAACCAGCATCCTGCGCTCTGACGATGTTAATTCTTTAAAAAAAAAAAGAGCAGAGACCAGGCAGAAAATGAACTGAACGTGCCTGTAAGATTCTCTCCCTCTGTCCCAAATCCGAAGCGTTGCATTTTCGGGGGAGATGACTTCCTGATTATGAAAGCACCTCGGTGGACTTGGCTCCTCGCTGGCTTTCTGTGGCCTTGGGTTAAGCGGTCAGTTTTGATCCTCTGTTTCCCATGGTGGTTAATGAAGTTTGTAATCTTCCTGTCTCCCATTCTTTGTCTTGTTTATTTAGGTTCTCTTCCTGCGTGTGTTTAGGTGCGCGCTTACAGGGGCTGCTTCGCAGCGCTAACTTTTCTTCCTCGCTTTCAAAGAAGCTGTTCCTGCTGATGGAGACAAACTCACGCATGTGGGCCTGGGGGACTGTGGTTTCTGCAGTGCTTTACGTAGGACAAAAGAGCCCCGGGTCTCCCTTGGATCTCTGACACCTGCAGTTACATCCGGTGGCTTTTCAGTTTCCAAACAAGCCATTTTGCAGCAGATCCAAGAGCTGAAATCCCTCTGGTTTGTGTTGTGCAGTTCAGCTCCTCTGGTCACTTACGTTTGATTTTCGACTTGGTTTTCATTATGAAAGCAAATCTTTAAACTCCTGGGTAAGAGGAAGGATGGCCAGTGGCCGTTTGTCCAGTGCTGGGAAAGCCAGCACTGAAGTCTCATCCCCCGTATATTTTATGTTAAACCCAGATGTAAAAAAAAAGTTGGAATAAAGATGGGATTTAAGCCCGTGCACTTAAATTGTAATCCTCAACACCTTCGCTGGATTGCAGCCCGTCCTTAGGGATCACAACTTCGTGGCTGTTTTACTTGAGCGTTCTTTGTACTAAAAGTTTTCATAGGATTGTATTTTTTCAATATCACGTTTAATAGGGTTAAGCCCCCAAAAAGTGATTGATCTGTTAAATGAAGGACTTTTCTTGACTTGATTAAATACTTGGAATACCGTGGATATGTAAATAGAGCCTATCTGATTTTTTCCTTTCTGCTGTAGCCCGTAGAAGGCAGAAGTGGTCTGTGGATCCACGAAACAGTGCCTGGAGTAAAGATGAAAATAAATTTGGACAGAAGATGCTGGAGAAGATGGGCTGGTCCAAAGGAAAGGTATGGCCTAAAGGAGAGCTGTCTAGATGAAGGTCTCATTTATTCCTGAATTAAAAAGTGTTTTTACCAAAAAAAAAAAATCAGGGTGTAGAGTTGTGGGTGTAAGACTGCTGGGGGATTCCTGGTCCCAGCATTTAAAACAGCCATGTTCTTTTTGTTTGATTTATTCCTTTAAGTTTGCTCAAATTCTCTGCACTCTTAGCAACATTAGATTTCTATAATTTCTTACAAAGGTACTTGCCAGCTTGTTCCTCTCTTGCTTTCCCATTTTTCTACCCTCTCTTTGACACAGTGGTGTCCACAAGTCAGAGCAGGAGCTGGATCATTAAATCAGGTGATATTTAGAGAAGGCTTTCAGTTGCTTTCATGCTCTCGCTTCTCTCCCTGGCTGTTTGTGCAGTTGAAAGAAACTCCAAGACCTGGAGTTTAATCTTTCACCTGTTTTTAAAGGTTACTTCTGATCTGGTCCCTGAATGGCCAAACTGCAGCGTTATGGGAGTTGCATTCCTCCCCAACTCCAGCATGTACCTGTGCGGTGGGGTGACAGGCTGCTGGTGCTAAGAATAATCTCTAGATCAGTGCAGACAGCTGCAGACATTTTCACTGGTAGTTGAAAGCAGTTTAACTTCCACAAAGGAGCCTCAGAAAAGCTGAGATTTGGGCCTGCACATCAGCATGGTTAGTGAAACAAACACACGCAACCCACCCTGCCCTGTGATATATGTTTAGTTTTTCTCCTAGATCTCCTCTGTTTCCTTTTAAATTAACAAAATTAGGCCTGTTCTTAATTCTGCACATGTGTTACAACTTAGTGTGAAAAATAAGCCTGCCTTTAGATTGATTAGCACACAGAAATCTGGCTTCTGTCTTTAATTTCACCGACGAGAAGCAGCGATCGCTGATTCAAGGGCTGCTGAAGCCAAAGAACTGGGGTTGGTTTCGCTAGGCTTTAGACCAAACTGTTAAAAGTGTGAGACTGGAAACTGTCTTGTTATGTAAAGTTGTGTGCATGGCTGTTTTGTAAGTGTGAGACCGAAAATAGGTACATAAACCAGAGTAGGGAAGAGTGCTGATGGTATTTCAGGCTGCTAGCAGCTCCTCTGGATGTGGATAATGCTTTCCTGTTACACACACTTCGTGTGAGGGTGTGGAAGGAAGGCCCTCGTGGTACTTTAATTTTTTCTGAGGGTTCCCGCTCGTCGTCTTCACAGTAAGTTTCCTGTGTGAGTTACTAGATCTTTCTCTACAACAATTATAGCTGTACTAGAGAGATTTATATCCCCGTTCTGCTACAAACTCAGACAAATGGAAGCATAGCTTGGTCAAGATAATGGGGAACAGCCCATCTGTGCTCTGAAATTAAGCTGCTTACACTAGTCCCGTTACTGGTTGTGCTGGAATTAGGTCATGGCAGGTTGTCCTGCTTGTTTCCATACTTTATGGTTAGCTGAAGTTTTCAAGGTAAATTTGGCACCCCACCTCTACTGGATCTGTGAGAGGAGCAGCCGTGTCAGGGATGGTCATTGCCTCACCCACTGGATATGCACAGGGGCTTCTTTCCACTACTCCACAACACCCATGCGTACATATTTATTATATTTATTTTATATATATGTATTTATACCTATTTATTACGGTGATTTGTTACTGGTGGGGTGGAAAAGCAGGTAGATATCAGAAATAATATTCAATTACAGATCTTTTTCTCCCTGGTTGTGCAATTAAGATAACACTGGGGTTAAAGATGTCTTCCCAGATTTGAATGCTTCTGTTTTTTTAGGATAGACAAACCCACCATCTGTTTGCCCCACTGTCTTCACCAAATCTTGAGTGTGAAGGAGATGGAAAAAGTTCTTAATGACCTGCTAGCTCCAGTCTGATCCCTCCACCTCCTCTCACCCCCTCTAATATAAATCCGTTCTGCTTTGTAAGCTCCGTGTGGCATCTCTCTCAGCATTTACGCAGCTGCCTTTGCCATGAGGGAGGTGGTTTTGGTAAGAGGCATGTTCTTCCTATGTAGTGTCTTGTTTGAAAATTGTAAACACTTTGGACTTGCCTAGGAATGTCAGGTGGCTTTCTGATTAATCACCCGACTATTTAACTTTGTTGTTGTTTTAGTGTTTGTGGTATTTTGCTGGAGGCTTAAGTAGTAAATTAAAAATACTTAATATCTCATGTGTGCTAATGCCTGTGAATGAATTCAGTTGCAGGCAAGCAAATGGTAACTTGTGGTTTCTTGCTGTATTTCATTGCAAAATGTCTTCCAGTACAACGGCTCGAGTTGCTTAGTCACTGCTGGAAAATCCTTACTCCTCTTTTACCCTCAAATCCTCATTAGGGTCTTGGTGCTCAAGAACAAGGAAACACAGAGCACATCAAGGTTCACGTGAAAAACAACACGCTGGGTTTAGGAGCATCCATCAATCACGAGGTGAGTGCTAGACCAGGTAAGATGTGGCTCCCTTTTCAGCTAATGCATCATCTTTGTAATGGGACTTTAGTGAAATCTGTTATCACATCTGGTGGTAGCATATACCTTTGTGAATATCCCTGCAGAAACTGTTGAGCTGGAGCGTAGTTATGCTCTGTTAAGTATTTTGGAAGTAAGTACCTGCTTGGAAAGGTTACAGTGAATTCTTAGGCTGTTCAGAGAGTTTTTGCTTCTGAAGCACTAAAATATTTGCTTATTCCCTGCTTAGCTTTATGCTTTCTGCCCCTCATCCTGATACAGTCACCTCCCTGACTGGAGTTCAGGTACACAGGGGGAACTGAACGTGCTTCTAAAGATACTTGTCCCAGAATCAACAACTTAAATAACTCCATTGCTGGAAAATCACACTAGTATTTAATGCCTACTTTAGAAAACATCTTATGCAGACTTTGACATGCAGAGCCAACAACAGCTCAGTATTGTTTAAAGGCTTACAAACACAATCCTTATCAGTTCTGCACCTCGGATCGTAGTATGCTGTTGTTAGTATTGCCACCTGTGGAGCTTTGTTGGTCCCTCCCACCAAGAAGGATTGAGTATCCGCAATTAAGTTGCTTCTTGGAGAGCAGACTTTAAAACCTGTTTTAGCAAAACCTCTGTTAGGGCTGAAAACTGTTGCCTCGTATTCACCTGGGTGATATTTACAGGACAACTGGATTGCTCATCAGGATGACTTCAACCAGCTTCTGGCTGAACTGAACGATTGCCACGGACAGGGTGAAACAGGTAGGTTCATGCACTGCTCAATCAGATGCTGGAAGCTTAGCAGAGTTTCCATTCTCTGTCTTACAAGGCTAGCTGAGGCCCTACCTTTGGGCTGCTCATAGTATCCTTGCTGAGTACAACAGCTCCTCCTTTTCTTTCTCCCCCCAAATCACTGAGAGCTGAAGGACATGTTGCCATCCATGACTGTGCTCAAGTTTGCCTGGATGTGTAGATCTCAGTGGATCAGTTTAATCTCTATTAAAGGCTTCTTACTGGAGAAACCAAACATAAAAATTGTGAATTTGGGAGTTTTATCCAAGACACAGGGGACCTTTTGCTGGGATGTACAACAGCCGTGCTTTTTTCTTTATAAAGCATCCAGAGCCAGTATGAAAGCTCAAAACACAGGCGTTCACCATTGCAGTGCATTTGCCTTCCTTTTTCTTATTAACTATCACATCTGGTTTCCATGCTCCGGTGGTTTCTTAAATACCTACTTTTCCTGTCCTCAAAGAGCTGCTTCTCAGCTTTTGACTCGGAGTTATGCATCTTTGTTTTGAGTGTAGTATAATGTGATTTTTGTAGCCCTGACGTAGAGCACACAAGTGGGGTAACTACACAGTTCTCCCAAAGGGGCTATTTATAAAGTTTATTGGTTTTGAAAGGTGTTGTGCAGTTTGACCTTGGTTTGTAGAAATGAACTCATGCTGGGCTGGCAGGTGTGAGCTTACAGAAAGAATTTCAGCTGGTTTACCATCTCTCCTTTGGACTGATACATCTCAAACTCTGATCGTACATCTAAACAACCCTGTGGAGTGTCATTAAGCCAAGGGCTTCTGTTTGGGCACAACAACTTGTCCACGTGCTGCTGGTGTCGGAATTGCCAGCTTAATGATTTTAGCCACTCTTAATTCATTCTTAACATTTGTGCTTAGAAGATCTTCACGAAGAGGAAAGGTAGAAGGAGGAGGAGGAAGATCAGCTAAAATGAAGTCTCAAGCCTGTTTTCTAATCCTAGAGAACTAGGATTAAAATTCTGAAGCCAATGCTTTAAGAACAGGTATTTTAATTCCTGTGTAAATTATTCTGGCGCATTGGAGCCCTGATTGTGATCTGCGGCCACACAGTGCTGCTAGCTGCTGTAGTGAAAGTCCTCAAGAGGTAGAAGAGCATCTTGTAGGGAAATTCCAAAAGTTCCTGTCTACCTCTATATCTAAATCCTACCCAAGTTCCAACTTGAGCCATGAGAAGATCATTTAGGTGTAACTGGTGGGAAACCTGCAAACTGATGAGGAGAGAGCTGAAATGATTTGCCCAAGGACACAATGAGTCAGCACAGAGGCAGGTTCATTGAGCAAGGCTGTCTTGTTCCTAAAGCTGTGCTCTATCCTGTAGGTCATCCGTACCGATACAAAGCGGTCCCATAAAACCATATGTCTCCCTGTTTGACTCAGTCATTTTTCCTTGGTCTTTTTAGCAGCTTGGACAAGAGATTTCAGTCACTGAGCACAAAAAGTCGGCTGCAAGTTGAAAAGCCCCGGTCGGAATCACCTTGGGTGATTTGCAGACTGTAAGCATTGCTCTGAAACTTGTTTCTTTGGCAGTTCTCTTAAGCTGGCAAAACTCATCCAGATAATTCCGCCTGCAGCTGTGCTGCAGGATCAAATGTTACATTGTTGGCCATCATCCAGTTTCAAATTGCATTAAAAGTCAGCTGAAAACCTTCATTGTTCTTAAATAACTGGTGTAGTTGCCAGAGCTGGATTGCAATTAGAGATTGGGAAGGAAGGGCCCTGTGTCGGTTTGTATGCCAACATTCAAATACCCTTAATCTAGACAGATTTAGCTTTCTTCTCTTATTTTTCTAGCTGAGCACCTGGTGAGGAGTTCTGATCTTGGCTTTTTTGCTGGGATGCTGAGTGATGAGGACTGTGTCCCTTTCCCATCTACAAAATGGGGTAAAACACTCTGGCCGTGCCTGTCACGTGCTTTGGAATATTTATCTGTATCAGATTGGCTCTAGAAATGCCCCAACTTATGACTGAATTGCTTTTAGACACAGCAGAAGACAGACAGATGTACCAACTTGTATGCTGCCATTGCCAGCACATTTCTAAGCTCGGTGAAATTCCTTCTTGAAGGCACAAGGCGGTGCTGCTGCCCCTTTCGCTGTAAGAATGAGGTACAGGAGGAAGCCTCGCGGAGATCCTTTCCTGTGTGAAATTCAGTACAGGCGGATAGGAGAGCAGGCTCAGAGTGCTGCACCTTTGGTCAGGGTATTTTAATTGTCATGCTTACTTTCCACATAGACCCTTCTAATGAGGATTTTCAACTTGACTGCAAAATCTGTCTAAAACTGGTTTTTCTAGTCATTTTCTTGTTAAGGTTTATGTGCAACATCAGGAGTAGATCTGAGGCTGCTTTCTGGTAGTAAACTCTCCCGCTGCACGCTGTAGATCTCTTTTTTAGGTCAATGACTATCATCAGGTGGCACTCTTGGCGAAGTGCTGTAATTCCAGAGCCAGAAAAGCTTGGTCTGCACAGCTGTCAGGGGTGGGATTGTATGAAAAAGGTGACTCAACTTGGGTATGGGTTGATTTCCCTACCTATACCAGTTGCCACTGGCAGGAAAAAAAAAACAATCTCACCCTAAGTAGCCTTTTTTATTGTTAGGAAGCACAGAATCCTGTAGTGAGTACTTCTCTTTGGGACAGGACCATAAAGTAGTTCTTACTGGACTGCAGGTTACCTCCTTCTGAGAATTTCTTGTAAATTAACAGGCTCTGTGGATGCAAAGAGTGTGTCTGTACCGGTAAAGTAACCTGGCATGGCACAGAAACTTGCTATCTGTACTGTTAAATAGTTAGATAATCCCTCACATGCTTCTGACCTGCACAAGCTAAGTCTCTCAAACAAGTCCTGAATGAAAGTGGGCCTTAACCAACTCCAGAGACCATTCCCAGTGGGTAGCTCAGAAGCAGCCCTTCAACTGAAAGTTAGAAGAACTAAATAATGTAGATGTGGCACTTCTAGCTGGCCTCAGGGAAGAAAAAGGTCAGCCTGTTTAATTTCCTTACACAGAGATATCAGACTGTGGCCATATAGGGGCACTTTAAGAAGTGTTAGAGTTGGAAAACTTGCCTGGTGTGATGTCTTTATTTTTTTTTCTCTTCCTTTCTATCCATTCAGATTCAGTATTTTATTTTGTACCATTTCTTACGGCTTTCTCAGACACTAGCACTGGAGATATTTTGTAACAAACGGCACAACTGATCCAGCTTCTTCTTACCATGGAAAATGTGTTCAATTAGACTTTGCCTTTGACCTGCAGTGCTTGTATCTGCCTTTTCAAATTGCACTAGATTGGAGTTGGGAAGGGAAGGGGATGTGGCAAAAAAAAGTCATGCAGTAACATGTCTCAGAAGAAAGTTACCATGCTTCCTTCAGTGCTATGCTGTTAAACTTGGTTTTGAAAGAGAAAGTTAAACACAGTGATGTTTGAATTTGGTTGTTAGCCTTTCTCTAACAAGATTGGAACTTGCCTTTTTATTTTTTAGAGTCCTCAGTGACTAATCAGAAGACGACATTTAGTCTCGAGGAAAAATCCAAATCCTCCAGGAAACGTGTCCATTATATGAAGTTTGCAAAAGGTAAGAGGAATTGTTTCTGGTTCATAAGCTGTAGCCAAGATTAGTAAAGCATACATCAAGGTGATCTGTTACTTTTTGTAGTCTATATACAAGTAGAATCTTGAATTAGAAATCCCCCCTGCAGCAACCTGCTTAAGGCTATAATACACTGTTTCTCTTTATTTTGGACAATTCTGGGCGGCTTTGGGCTGTTATCATTGAATAAATCAATTCCTGCCTGTAGGAACCATCAGCTGACTAAAGAACAATGAATATTCTCAGTGATGTGAGTGGGAAAAGGGCTGGAGAGGCTGACAAAGATGATGGCCAAGTAGCTGTTATCTGGACTGCACTATCCTCTGCAATCTCCAGTAACCCTGCCAAGAGATCATGTGGATAAGATAAGCGATCAGATTAAATGATGCAGGAAGAGGAAAGCCCTCTTACATCTATCAAATACTTCTTTGGGTCAATTCGGACAGCGATGGGTGACCAGAAAATCCATATCAGGAACTTGTGGAGTTACTCAACTTCTTTTCTGGAGTGTGATGGCATTATTTCAGCCAAACCTGCTTTCTGCTCTTGACCATTGTTAATCCCTCGCTCTGTTTCTCTCTTGGTTCTCTTTCCACGCAGCCCTGTGCACATGGTGGGTGTGAATCTGTGGTTCAGTAGAGGGATGGGATTGATTTCCACTGCTGGTTAATGTATTAAACTTAAAGCTTGGGGTAATGTTTTTGGATAACAAATGCTTCTGCTGAAACAGAGGTAATTGGCTTCTGAATGGAGGCCAAATTCTGATATTGGGGGTTGGGTCTTTTGATGAAGTAATTCAACCTAGAAGTCAAGTGTGTTAACATGACCCTGCCACTTAATGACATTAAACAATTAAAGTGGTTCAGGACTTCAAGTACAGAGACCATGGCCTACTTGAGGTAGTAGCAAAGAGGATTTATTTTTATTTGTTTTTAACTTTTTGCTAAATAGAGGGGGGGTGGAATGCATCTCTTAAGCATTAAAAACACAGAGCAAGGCTTTTGTCTTAGCAATATCCCTTATTTGTTTGGCTGCAGTGCTTCTATAAGGCAGGCCCCTCTTGGACTGTACCCTCTGTGGTTTAAACCAGGGAAATTCCTCCTTTTCAGGGAAAGAGGAAAAGTTATTTGAAAAAGGCTCATGTTGTTGTGGCCCTTGTTGTTGAAGTCCGATCCTGCTTCCTTTCAGACTAAACAAGACAAGCTCGCACAAAAACAGGAGAAGGGAGCAGCAGCGATAGAAAACGCAGCTTCCGTTTCTGATGCTGTTTTGTAGCCTCACTGCTGGAGGAACACAGGCACAGCTCATGGTCTTGGCCCTCGCACTTGAATCTGGGAAATTTATATCAATATGAGATTGACAGTGGTATAAAATGCTCTGTGGTGACATCTTCTTACCCTCTGTAGGCAGTTCGAGATTCTGAGAAAAAGGAACAGGTGGAATAGTCAGATGTTGTTTTGAGGTCAGTGATTTTTGGAGTCTGACTATTGAGTGCAGTATGGTGAAAGCCAAGCAGACTCCTGGGGTGCTGTCAGTTGGCCTGTCTGGACTCATTTTTGTTTCTTCAACTTTTTCTGACATTTTTTTCCTCAAAGAATTCTCTGAGACAAGCAGCGGACAACTGAATATAAAGGCTTCTGCACTGTGAGCTCGGCCAAACATTTGCTGGCATCTCAGAGTATCACATCACACCCTTTCTGTCCTCTCTACTGAAGTCCTACTGAAACTCTTTGCTTTGCCCTTGAAATTGTTTTTATGCTGGGATAACCCAGTGTGTTGCAGAGGTGGAGGTTTTGCTTTTCAGAAGCAGTTTCATGTACCAAAGAAAAGCACCCGCTAAGTAAAGATTTTTATATTTTTACTACATGGAGGAGATGTAAGTCCCTAACTCTGTCAGAGACGGAGAATTCTCATGAAAGTCCGAAGATAAGGATTTTATCTTTGAACTTTTCTTGTCTGCAGGAGGATACACCTCTTCTTCCCCTTTAGAGTAAGTAGAACAGGCTGTTTCCCTCGTCTTGCTACGCCAATTACAGTGTCAGATGGGGGGAAAACAAGTTGTTTCCCTGTGGACATACAGGGACATAGGCGATAGTTGCATCCTCACCAGCCTTCCCCCACCCACACATACGTTTCCCACTGTATATGGTAGCCACGGGCAGCATTCACGTAGTGTCTGTAACATGCTGTTCCTGATTTGTGCACCTCCAAAAATAACTTCTCCATCTCTGCAGGCTAAAGTTCGTTATTACCAAATGTGATGATTGTGGGTTTTATCCTCCCCTTACTCCTTCCAGGTAAGGATCTCTCTTCACGCAGTGAAGATGATCTGTCCTGCATATTTGGGAAGCGACAGAAGACTACAAAGACGCAGGTAAATGAGACTTAATTTTTCTTTTGTTTCCTTGCTTAGTTTTGGTCATAATAAAGGCATACCTAAATGTCTTGCTGCTAATGAGATTACCACATGTTTATCAAAAGCAAGAGGTCTTCTGCCCATGGAATCACTTGTTTCTATGTAAAAGTTGCAGGTGGGGTGCCGTTCTCTGAACTGTTACAGTGTATTATCTGTATGCATTGCTGTGATGTAACTTCTTTGGAATTAGTTAGGAATCTTCATTACTTCAATTTTACACTACTTAGGCGACACACGTTGTGAAATAGATAAACTTTCCTTCGTCTGAAAGTTCCATAAACGTCAGAAATAAAATTTGACATTCAGCAGCAACCGGCTAATCTCAGCATGCTGCTTTGTTTTCACGAGAAGTGGGAAAGGCTGAGCAGCTGCAGAGGTTTGCTCATCTTTGAGCAACAACAAATCGCGAGAAGACTTTTCCCCAACTTTGTGTAATGAGATGAATGTTTCTAATAGCATTTTTTTATACTATTTATTAGCATTTTCCACTTGCGGAGAACAGACGAGCTAGATCAGTATATGAGAAACATGCTTACACTGGGACATGACTAATGTATCCAGAAACATTGTTAGGAAAAGATAACATCTGGAGAAACACAAATAAATGCGCTGCACGGATGGCACGGTTGATTCAGAGGTCTCTGAAGTCTCTTGCAGCTAAAGGGAAAGATGAGACCTGAAAAATTTGAATGGAAGTTTCTGGAATACCCTGTATGTATCTGACACCTTGCTTATTGTGCTTACTCTTGAAAATTGTTTTGTAACTTCACTGTTAGCCACTGTGACATTTGGAAGGAGAAGAATAGGGGACAAATGCACCGTAAGATCCTGGGCAGCAGTAAAAGTAATAAAATGTTTGCAGTTGTGTAAAGTATAGGTGGAATGACAAGGGGTTGTGAAGAAGAAATTGAGACTCACTGAGGATTCTTCGCTTGGAAGACCTCCTAATATGAAATACAAAATACTTCGGTGGGTGTCTTGGGTTAATTTGGAGGATTTGGTCTTGCTGTTATCCTGTGTTGTTTTATAATTTCAGAGAACATGCTGTAGGTTTTAGAGTTGCTGGTAGGAAAACTTTTGTGGGTACTCTTTAAACTACAAAAATACATTCACAGCTAGTTAAATGAGGAAGCTGGAAGAGGCATAAGCAAATCAAGAACTGTCCTGTCTTGTCTGCCACTGTGAATACCAGTGTGAACCTTTGTTACAAGTCACATGGTTTGTCTTGAAAGGTGAGAGCTTGGGAAGAGGCCGTCAGCCACAACAGAACCCATCTGAACTTAACTACTCTCTTGGTAGAAGCATTTTGGGACTTCAGGTTAGAGATATCAATTGTTAGGGATCTCAGATGCTGGAGGTAAACGCGCACCATCAGAACCCCTTGATTAACACTGTTCCTGCTCAGGTAAATATGCCAGAGATCCATCGCAGCCAGGTCAGTAAGAAACAAGAGCTGGAGTTTAGTGCAAACCCCCAGGAGACAGTGCCGTGGCTAAAGCAGTAGATTTTGCCTGCCCATGGGTTCTTCCAAATAGTTGCTCTCATTTTCTCTGCACGTTCCATATCTTGGGAAATTAAAATGAGTTTGGAAAGTGATGCTGCTGCTTCTGGGGCTTTATCCTGCAGAACATTTCTTCTTTTGAGAGGCACTGGACATCGTACGTGCTCATGGCTGCTGTTGTGCAGGTTTCCTTTCTACCCTCGCTGAACACTAAGCTAATGGTTCAGGGTTCTGGCAAAAAGTTACAGGCTGTTCCCTGTTCGTCGGCCAGATTTCCACATGCAAATATAGGCAGGAGGTAATATAATTTGGAGCTGCATTGTTGTCTTCTGGCTACTGTCTGCTGCTAAGCAGTCATGGGGAGAAAAAGCCAGAGGCAGCACAACTGTGCTTTTTTTTTTTTTTCCTCCTTCATGGGTCAGAGATCTGTGGAGTTTGCACAGAACAACAAAAAAAAACGCATTGCTCAGGCACTCCAGCTCAACAATTTCATTTCATTGCACCCATGAACTCTCTCCACCCTTCGCATCATGTTCCAGAACCTGGTCGTTAAGGTGGCATAAATGGAACTGCCACATGAGGATTTGCAGTGCTGTTCCCTTTGCGTGTTTGCTTTCTGTTTTTTGAAATCCCTAGGCTCTGGGCATTGCCCGAATGTGGCAGGGAGAGTGCTACAGCAGCAGGAAAGCGCTGTCATTCTCCTGGAAGCAAGTTGTTCCTGTCTGTTCCGTGCAGAGATAATGTGGAAAGAGCCCTGCTGCCCATCAGAGCCCTGGGGTGTACCTACAGGCTGTGGAAGGCCCTCGTTGCTTTTAATTGCAGCTCCTGCAGCCACTAATAACACCCGTGTGCTGCAGTTCTTGTTCAGAGTGGATAAGGACAGCTTCCATACGTACCTAGGTGCTACAACTGATACTACTACGGTCAGTAATAGAATGGCTCGGGTTGGAAGGGATCTTAAAGACCATCTAACTCCAACCTCCAAATAAATCAAATTGCGTGTTCTGAGTTGTATTTGCAACTGAGATGATATACAGAAATTGGTCCTGTAGCTTAAAGACCTATCTTTAAGGCTTTTTCTGAGGTATTAGATTCTTTTTTTTTCTTGTGTTTCTTTCCAGAGATCCAATTACAGAAGCTTTTTGGAGGTCTCTAGATCAGAGTTGCAGGGTCAGCTTCAAGGTACTTGAGACTTTGTTGAACTAGGTTTTGACCACCTCCCTTAAAGCTTCCGATTTAAACCTCTGACAGAATTAAGTGAACGGATGAAGCATCAGTTGAGAAGTGAGAGATGGGAACATCTCAGAAAAATGAAATTCTTACACTAACGGATTCAGCTGGATGAGCATTTGCAGATCTGTAGGCATTAGGGGTGCTGGAAGTTATGGAAAGGTTTTGGGATGTCTGCCATTGTCTGCTGGCATTATCACTAAGTTTTTCATCTGTAAGAGTTGCAGAGCTTTTCTTATTCCTAAGAGGTGTTGTACCCACTGCTTTTCTGTATCGACCAGTGGCCTATAATGCTGTGGATCCTGGCAGTGGTATTATATTGATAATCATCAGCACTGTTGTACTAGGTCTGGCTGTTGGTTGGCTGGTGTTACACCAATTTATTCCTTAAAGAATGGGAAAAGAGGGTGGGGGGAACCCAGGAAACTCCATCTGTGCTTACAGACAAGTGGAATCCAGTGCAGGGACTCAAGGCTCGATATGCTCAGGACTCTGACCCTGTAAAATAATACTGGCTGATCTTGGAGTCACTTTGGAACTGTCTCAGTAGCCTGGCTCCTCTTGTGTCACACTGACACTACTGCAGCAAGTGGGGATGTTGAAATTTGGGTTATCTGCATTATCAAAGTAAAAGGGGAGTTGGCTAGAGGATTGTAAAGATTGCAAAAGAGTGGAATTGCAAGGGATGTGGAAGGAAATGCTGTTTGCCCTTACGGGTTGAGAGGAGCTTCTCTAGAAAGGATAAAACCAGGATACTGGGTCTGCTGTTTTGATGGTGTTGGGATGTGTGTTCCTAATCTTAGGCACTTGCAACCTTTAATTCTCTTAAATATTAAACATAAAGGCAGTTACCAAAAAATGTTGATAAATCACATGTCCAACTAAAAACACCTTAATAAACAACACAGGGACTCTTTTTTTTTTAATAAAATAAAAAACGGGGGGAAGAAAACAATGGCTGGGCTTCAGAGTGGAATTAAATTGGAAACGTCTGCAGTTTTTCCCAGGGAGAGTAAGTGATCGAAAATATTGAATTGTAATTATGATGCTCTCTGGAGACGTGCGATGAGGACCTGTTTTGCAGGGTAAGATCTGCCAGACATTTTTTTTTGCCCCCACTTTCCCTCTAATTTTCTCACTTGCTTAGGAACACTGGGAGCTGGGGAGACAGAAAAACAAATTCCATTAGTTCCTATCTGGTTGAACTTCCTGGAACCCCCACTATTTTTTTTTGCTTCTCAGAATTTCCTTCCTCCATCCAGCTGTGTTTCCTGATGAAGCCTTATCACTGGAGAAAATACTCCTGAGTGAGCCTGAGGATTTGGGAATGAGTTACAGACAGTCCCAGCTTGGTTGCTGAACAACATGATTCTGGCACTGATTTCGCTTTGGGGGCTGGGGGAGTAGTTCTGATTTGCTGGCGCATTTGTAATAACTCTGTTTGAGATGTGTACAAAACTGAATGTTTTGCATCCATCTCACTTCCACATCTCAGGCCGTTCGATGAGTAATCTGCTTCCTCCAAATTTTTGTAGCTTGGATATAAACCTGCGTAAGTTCCCTTAAACTGCCTAATCCAAGTAGCCCGAAAGTCTTGAGTTCGTGGTGATCTCTTCCGTGTTAGTCATTAGAAATGTAACTATCCGCCCTGTTGCTTTTTCACTTTTTTTTTTTAAAAAAAATCAGGAAATTGTCTTCTGACACATTTTGCAGAACTTCCTCAACTGACTTACATTTCCCAGCACTTATCAGAAAAACTTGTTGGCTAATCTTAAGGGACATAACTGAAAATCCATTAAAGTCTGGCTCTGTCACTGGCTCACTGAAGCTATGGGTAAGCTGATGCAATTCCCTACACCTCAACTTTCTCTCTGCAAAATACCAATTGAGATACTAACGTTTGTGGGTTTGACAACTGACTTTTAGGCAAGCAACAGCTTCAGTTTCTTGTATTTTCTTACTCGCAACAAAAGTCTCTGTTTAGAACTTAAAGGGAACAAAAACCAGCAGAAAAGTTAGTTAATTTTTAACTTACACTTTTCACTGTTCTGCTTTGGAGACTTCAGCTAGCATGAGGTATTTAGGACTCAGAAGCAGAACAGAAAGAGGACATCAAAAACCTGGAGAGAGTCCAAAAGGATTTAGTAAAATGGGCGACAGGGTTAGAGGGCATGTCCTAGAAGGAGAGAGTGGAGGAACTGGATACGTTCATCTTCGAAAAGAGGCA